AATTGCACACTTATATTTTAGAACGGTCATGTAGTGAATGGATTTAGAACTTAACATTTTGTGTAAAGTTTCCACAATGATAATAATGACTGAACTCGACTCAAGCACATTTTTGCATGCACAGTCAAGAATCCAAACCCCAAAAATCTGGTGTCTCGCAAGTGGTCCATGAGAGTGGTCTGACGAGAGTGGTCCACGAAGGTAGTCCACGGATCAGGTCCACGAAGGTAGTCCACGGACCTGGGGTCCGCGTTTTGTCGTTTTCCCTCTTCTACGCAGGCTGATATTTAATTAATAATTTGTGAGGAAAATACAAAGAAAAATCATAACATAAGCGTGTCGTTTACATGTGATAGAGATTTCCCTTGATTTACATAAACTTTAACGTTGATTTTCTCGACTTATACAACGTATTTTTTGAAAATTACTTCGCCAATGACCGTAGTATAGAGCGATCGTTTTTGAAGCAATTTAAAATACTGTGCCGATGTCTTCTTTATTATCAGACCTAAAGAGTAAAGATATTCGGCTTCGCCTCCTATTTTATATCTGATAAAACACTGCTGATCATGTATTAAATAGTACTAAAAAACTCATTTAGATAAACTTTAAGTTACTGAATTTTCTCACCAAATATCATTCATTGAATATTTAAAATTGTTGAAGAATAAGAATGTTCTCAAACGTTTGATCACAAGTCATACGAAGTATCGCGTACATGTTGTGACATCGTTGTCCCAGACATTGTCTTTGGCTCAAGTTTGTACATTTGATACAACACGGCCGCTCATGCTTTATCTAGATTGTAGACATAAAATTTACATCCGCAGTGCGTGTTTTATCAGACTTATAAAAGATACTCGGCTTCGCCTATAGTACTTCAAACTTTTGAAGACCATGCATGTCAAGTCCGCGTAATGTAAATAAATCCTTCGACGCTTTCTTTATATTTTGGACTGCTATATATTTGTAAAATAAGACATACTATTAACTAAATATCTGACAGTTTTCTGGTTCGCTATTGTAAATGAATATAAACTAGAGTACGTTTCAATTCAAAACAGTTCGAAAAATGCAAAATTTGGGCAATATTTATTTCTGTGGGTCGCCGTTTGTTATGAACAGAACTGATGTGCAGAACGAACTTGACAAGGTCTTTAAACATTAAAAAAATCCAAATATATATCAAAATCAAAAAATCAAAAAATCAAAAAATCAAAAAATCAAAAAATCAAAAAATACAAAAATCAAAAAATCAAAAAATCAAAAAATCAAAAAATCAAAAAATACAAAAATCAAAAAATCAAAAATCAAAAAATACAAAAACTGTTTTTGTGCTGTCGCGTCTGGGCCACCGTATGTTTGTTTGCAGAACCTAAAACCATGATGCAGTGCGCCATTTGTTTAACATTTAACACTGTACTATTTTGGTTTTAATTTTAAAATAATTTAGAATTCCTACCATTTATATACGATATACTTCATGTAATTTAAACATTACGGCATTACGCCGATAGTTTCCGAATGCGTGACGATACTGTTTCTGGATATGGCACTGGGATATCATATGATGTAGATATCAAAAAATGTATAAATATGTTTGTAGCATGAAGAAAGCAAGATTGAAAGAGTTTAAATAAAATGCAAGCTAAATAAAGAAGTTTTGACATGATATAAAACAAGACAATTTCACTTACAAGGGTGACAAGGTAAATTATGGGATTATAGCCTATTCAGTTAATATACTGTATAAATACATTGTGTGTTTCTGACTTTCTATCCCCTACCCCTTGTGATTTTTTTGGAAATCAAATGTTTATTATATTTTGCAATTTTAACTCGATATGTGTAGTGCATGCCCCTTAAGTAGAGTATATTAACTGTTTACAATATTTGTGGTGTATATAATGTAGCTATGCAGGGTGTTAGCCAGAAGAAAAAAATTTTGTCCGTTAAACGTAAATTGGGAAAGTTTTAACTGGACTTAGCTGAATAATTTCCCCAAAATTCTTGGCGAGCGGGAGGGCGGGGGGAGGGGGGTCATCAAAAAAATTTTTCAGGAGGTTTCAAAGGAATATTCCGTGATTTCCGCCAAATCCGAAAAATGTTTCACAGAATATTGAAATTTTTAGGTTTTGACCAATTTCACATTGATTTTTGCCAGACCGTTAAAATTTTGGGGGACACATGCTAATTTTCCAGTAGACCCAGTTGGGAAAGCCCTCAATTGGGAAGAGTCCGTCAAACGGACAGCATATGGGCTAGCTGACACCCTGCTATGACCCCCAAGATGAACCCCAATGGCTTCTAAATGGAGAATGGGTGAAAAGTTCATGAATATTGAGCTTTATATGTGAATCAGGTTAAATACAATAGTTAACCTAGCTTTATATAAAATGTACATACATGTTCTAACAATTGTATTTTGCTTCATACAATGCATATGTGTGTGGAAACATTACATTATTATTCAGCTCACTCCCCACATTGGGCCTTTGCAGTGATCGATTACATCAAGTACTATGATTACTTATGTTAGCCTAGATTATTTATCTTTACAACAATGAGGATATGATATTACTTTATAAAATAACATGTATATAACGCGTATTCTGATTGGTCGAAAGCCGTGTTTGGATCAGGCCATCCAAATACGGAAGACTACCGTGTTGTTGTTATTTTATAAAACAATTACTTTATGGTTTCTGTGTTTGGATGGACTGATCCAAACACTTGGGAATGTTGCTCGAGTTAGATAGATAGATAGATAGATTGTTTGTTTAATAAGATTAACACATAGCAGCCAATAAGGCTGAATTGCGTGCTAAATTTTACAAGAGAAATGATTAAAATTAGTTATTCTATATTTACAGAAGTTTAAAATTACATTACAATTTATAATTCTATATTACAGAAGTTTAAAGTTACATTACAAATTAGCTATGAAACTAGTAAATTTCTAAAAAATGTTAGCCAGTCTAAAACTGAATATCAGAATCGATTGTCAGTTAATGTTATTGATATGCCTTGCAGATGAAGGGAAAAAACTGTTTCTAAATCTGTTCGTTTTGGTCTGAGGAACAACAAAAGACCTTGAGTGTCTAAGGTCGTAATTTGGAAAGTATCTAGATGGTACATGATTATGCATATTAGCTACTGGTGTTGTGGTGATTTCATTAAACAGTTTCTCGCATGCATCCACACGCCTGTCACTTAATGGTTTGATGCCCGATTTTTGTAAACAATCCGCATAACCTGTCAGTGGATAGATGATTGGTAAAACACGCTTTTGAACCTGTTCCAGGGCATTAGATAAGTAGGAAGGAAGGGCGAAGTGGAAAACTTGACAGCTGAATTCCATGACTGGTCTGACGCAGGTAGTGTAAAAATGTATTATGTCAGCTTCAGATACATGAGCACGTTTCAACTGAATAATAAAATAAATCCGTTTGTTCGCCTTCTTAACTATGTTAGTTATGTGTTGGTTCCATTTTAGATCTTTAGAAATTGTCAAACCTAGGATTCTTGCGTGGTTCACTGTCTCGATTTGGCCTGAGATGATCTTAAGGCGCGGAAATTCTTTCTCAGGTTTTGTAACACTGATAACAAGTTCCTTGCACTTGGAGGCATTTAATTGCATCTTGTTTTCTACAGACCAATTTTGAACACAATCGACTGTATCTTGAATTTTACTGGGTGTGTTGATATAAATGATTTCAGATACCGTAGCATCATCGATGTATTTCCATCGCTCATGATGTGGGGGGCGTAGGTCATTTATCATTAGGATGAATAACCAAGGTCCCAATTTGGTTCCTTGAGGGACACCGGAAGGAATGTCAATCCATTCAGACATACAGTCTCTTGCAAGTTTCACCCGTTGTTGCCTGTTCATCAGAAAGTCAATTACCCACCGCTTAATGAAATTTGGCATTGGCAATTGGATGATTTTCGTGGCTAAGATCTTATGATCAATCAAGTCGAAGGCCTTTTTATAGTCAAAAAGAACCACTCTTACAGCGTTTCCAGTTCCATCTGTGGCTTGAGTCCACGCATGAACCATAGAAATTAAGGCTTTTGTAGCAGATGATCGAGGGATGCCACCAAATTGAAAAGGATCAATTGACGACAACACTGCTGGAGCGATATATTTTTCAACAACAAACTCTTCTGCAAGTTTAGACAGAACCGGAGTTAACGAAATAGGTCGGAGCTGTTTGCTTATGTCTTTAACAGGTTTCTCTTTCGGAATAGGTGTAATGTTAGCTTGTTTCCAGCATGAGGGCAGTCTTTTTTGCTTGTAGGACGAATTCAATAAGTCCGATACAGAGGGAGCAAGGATTTCGGCATAATCACGAAGAATCCAATTGGGGATATCATCAGGGCCCCTCGCTCGCTTTTCTTAACTCTCGCAACATTCCCGCGTGTTTGGATCAGGCCATCCAAACACGGAAACCATAAAGTAATTGTATATTCCTAACTGTGTTTATCCTAACCCACCCCGCCAATTTTGCCCTGTGGGAAGAAACCGGAGCAAATTAATATATAATTCAATTCCTTTGAAAACACCTAAATTGCAATCCCTAAAATTTAAAATTTTTTCTTAAATCGCCTAAAATCGCACTAAATCGCGGTGCTTGAAAGTCCCAGTTTTTCCTTAAATCGCCTAAAATCGCCCAAAATCGCATTATATCGCAGCGATTTAAGGCGATTTACCGCCCCAGAGTAGGCCTATTGCTCGGCCAACTAAACTAAACTCAACTAAACCTGGACCATTCGTGCTAAACCTCGTCGAGAACAGAGGCTTAACCTGAAGTCGATCAAGAAATTTTATGCTGGCGTTAGCCCTCAAAATTCTACAACTTGGCTGTTTAGTTTGAGTCGCTCTTTATAATTAACAAATATGAAACATTTTCCGTGTTGATTATCCTACGTAGCAGGCGCTTTTAGGCGGAGAGCGATGGTGGGAAAAGCTAGGGG